CTCTCTCTCTCTCTCTCTCTCTCTCTCTCTCTCTCTCTCTCTCTCTCTCTCTCTCTCTCTCTCTCTCTCTCTCTCTCTATCTATATATATATATAAACTTAGCACAGTCTATTCAACTATGTATATAAAATCTTTTGGGTTTAATACATAATCAAAGGCCTTTCAGACTTAAAGGTTAATACATGAGAACTCCAAGAGAATGATCAGCTGTACAAGAAAATAGACAGAGGCGATTAAGTTAGTTCTTTTATGTTTTAGCTACTAACTTGAAGTGTTTTTTTTTATATATAAAAATTATCCAAAAAAAAGAGTTTTGATTTTTGAAAGAAGCTATATTAAATAATAAGCCTACCCCAATTAATTGAGAAAAGGCTATGATGATGGTGATAATAAGAAGTTAATTTTCTCCCTCCATTGTTGACTACTAAGAGTAGTGATGAACAGCTCGGTACAGCCAATTGGCTACTAAGAACCCCAACCATCGAAATATGGACCAAGTTCTACTTCTATAGTAACATAAATGAGACCTTCAAGGAGAATTACAGGAGTGCAGTCAAAATCCATAAGCCACATGCTCCTACTTGGCGACACTCAGGCATCCCATATGATGATTTGCATTTACTACTCAGTTCCTTAATTGTAGCATTTACTACTCAGTTCCTTAATTGTAGGTCTTTTTATTTTTTCCTCTCTTTCTCTCTCTTTAATTGACATTCAGTTCCTCAAAAATCCCTCTTCAATTTTGTCTATTGCCTTCACAAATTAGACCGAATACAATATACTTTCTCTGTGTTACATTTTGTTTATTCCATGGCCTTCTAGTCAATGAGAAAAATTGGCAACACTCAAGCATCAGACAATGGTGATTTCAAAACCTTTGAGATTGTCGACAGAGTCTTCTGCAACCTAGACACTGTTGTTTCTGAAAGACATAGATGAATAACAAAAAACTGACAATGTGTAAACATAATTGACTACAGGGACTCTAGATCCATCAAATGGAATACTAGACCTGAACTTCCCATCCGTGCAGAACAAACAGACAGGGAGAACCTGGAACTTCAGGTCAGTCAATCAAACCTAAAAAAAAAAAAACTTGCATTGATCTCGCTAAAAACAGCTGAAAACAATCAGTTTCTACACCTTGCTGAATAATACTGGGAAGTTCATTCTATACACTAAACTTCACTGTAATTTTCATCTGAAATCAAGAGAGAGAAAAGTACAAGTGAAAAAAAATGAAAGAATTGCAGAGGCTTAGGGAGAAGAAGTGTAATTTCTTAACTAAACCTACCTGTGCAGTAAATGGGGTTCTGTCCCTATCCACAAAGAGGTTTCAGGCGATTTGAGGGAGAGTGCGGTGGCTGCAAAAAGTGACAGAGGGAGACCAATGGTGAGAGAGATGGTTTATTAAGGGAACACACACACGGGATAGGGGCTTTGTGGTAAATATAAGTGAAAAAGAACCAAATGAAAGTCAGATCTTTAGGTTCTAAAAGCTTATGCATGGTGATATTGAGCAAGCATATTTGACTCTTGGATTATTTGCTACTACAAAAATATCTCCATATTATTGAATCCCATCCAAAAAAATGAATATAGCAGTGGTACGTGCACTACACATTTTAGATTATTGTTCTACAAAATGAGATGATGTGATCCAGAAGCATGACTATATCTCTTAGCGGATGGGTTGCACATTCTCCATTCTGCTATAAAGTTGAATGATAAGATGACCTAGCATTAACATTTGCATCTTTCAAAAACCTGGTTGTATTTAAGTGGGCATCAAGGTCCATTAACCTCTGAACCTGTATGTCTTAGCAATCAGCAGTTATTTTTTATAACCATCTCAAGTTTACAATAAAATGAAATTATTACCAAATTCATTCTTTTTCAGTTCATCAAAATAAATATATAAAATCACAAAAAACCTTTTTGAGATTTTGTGAAAATGGATCCTATTGGTGGTCTTGAACGCATGAAAGATATAATTTGTTAAGGGGTATGGAAATGACACAATCGCCAGGTATGGCATTATTAGACTGCGTGACTGACAATAGCTATCAAATGGAAATTCATTCAAAAGTCATCCTTGTATAAAGTTTATTAGAAACTTTATCTCCCTCTTATAGTACTCAATATCGTTCTATCTAATGATAAAAGAAATTCTTAATAGTACGCTACGTTGAAATTATATGTTTTGTATATATAACTCATCTTCTAACATAGATTAATGATATTTAGTTCTCATAAGATAAAATAATTTGAAAAAGGTCATCCTCTTTAATAACAATGTGATATATTACTAGAGATCTTATTGTGATAAATTAAATTAGCCAAGAGCATGGCACCCACTATTGTGAGGCTTGAGCTTGATGACTTGGGACAAGATGAGAATGGAAGTCCAAACGTCACATTTTGGCATTCTCCACCCTGACCGCCTCTTCCTAGAACCTGCTTTCTGAGCTTGATGACTTGTTTCCCTGCTAGTTCACCTATTTCAAGATTACCATGAATCTATAAAAAGCACCAAGAAGATCTGGCCTTACAGTTATGCCAGCAATGAGCTCTTTTCCTTCCCCTGACAAGCCAGTTCTTCCAAGCAAATCCACCATGCACCCATAATGTTCCGTTTTGGGCTTGACATCATAAACCTTCGTCTTAGACTCAAAACAGCAGTACACTTCTTTTGCTATGCCTGAATGTGCACAAGCACTCAGGACACCATACAATTCCAAGGATAAATCCTCTTTTAAGGCAAGCCATTAAACACTTCGAAAGCTTTCTCCAAGCATCCATATTTACAACATACATCATGTCCAATTCAATACCACTCTTGTACCCATTGATCCATTTCCCTTACTCTAAAGATCCCACAAATTACAATAAAAACCTGGAGCTAGAGTAATGCCAGCAAATATTTCCTTTTAATCCAATAGATCTACATAGGGCTAGGCCCCAGAGTTAACCAAGAAAACATCCCAGAGAAATAGATTGTTGAAAAAGAGAGACACTATTCCTTGAATGGGTTCACCAATGACCACCAAATCTAACCGAGCTAACAACTCCTTGACTTGGTATAAAGAACATCCAGGAGTTGATCCAATACTGTAGGAATTCAAGAAATTTGAGAAAATAATAAATCATCATCCACATAAAGAGCCATTTTTATAAATCATATCTACAAATACAAAAAGTGGAAAAGGTTAAAATTGGGCTATAGAGACTGGTCAAACAAATATAACACAATAAACACCATTAAGGAAAAGAGTTTCCATGATCCAAAGTTTTTTTATCTGAAACTGTTGACATAGTTCCGTGATCCAAAGTTCCAAACCACTATCTGGCTGCTACAAATTTATCCAAATTTAATTTCTCGTGCGCTCGTTCAAAGAGCTCAAAAGCCTCTTGGAACATGTCACTTTGTACACAAGCTGTAACTGTATCATTCCATGAAACTTAATTTCTCTCGGGCATTTCGTCGACAAAATGGCAAACCTCCGCGATAAGGCTGGGTTTTGCACACCCACTTGGCCACTGATCAACGTGTCCATAAAACAACATCTCCTCCAGTCGTTTAATAAAAAACTTGGCATGTCCCATCAAATTCTCCAAAACCCAAATACACGAATTGTTTTTTCACTAAGATCCTTCAATTCTCTAAACCAAAGTCATGAGGAGAAAAACTTGAGTATGGAAAATTACAGGACTATGCCATAGATCAAGGAGCGTAACAATCAATGATCCACAAACTAATTCACCGTTTGGAGTGTCAACAGTTCCAGAATCGCCATCATTTTACAAAATTCAATCATTCTCATGAAGATTTTGAAGCTTTTCTGAAGACAACGGCAAGATTAATTCAAATAGAGTATGAAGTGGAGGAAAATGATAGAACTAAAGCAGCATCGTAGAGATGATTTTCAAACCTATCCCATAATTTGGAAGAGAGAGAAAGAGAGATATTTCGTTTTGTTTTATTACCTTCAAAACCGTATCAAATATCACCTCGAAGGCTTGAACCGTAGAGCTTCCCCCTTCTCAGAAATTTGTCCCTCGAATATTTATTTACAGAGAGATGGAGCTCACCAATGGCTTATCGATTTGCACGTAATTAAAGAGAGAGAGAAGGGATTTACGGGCATCGCGTGCGTACGCGTCATGCATAACGTGATCCCGCGACATCATATGGTATATTTACTCCTTGGGTCAAAAGTATTTGTATTGTACTTTGTAAAGGGTTTTAAAAATCGGAGATGATCTGGATGGGCTACCCGAAAATTGGGGTAGATCAGTGGATCCATCGGCTGGATCGACCAGTTTTGGTTTAAATTCTTTTAAAAAAAATGTGAAAATTTTTTACCTTCGTAGGTTTCTAAAAGAAAAAATAGTGGTATTTCTAAGTATGGTTTTTTTAATTGTTCGATAAAAAATATGTAAATACTGATATCTTGTCTAATGTGAATGTTTTTTATCCATTATATTTATTTTATAGTCAAAATAAAAGTTTATAATATAATTTATGGTAATAAAATGGATAGGTCAAACTTTCTATTTTTATATTGTTATAATCGTCGATGCCACTTGCTATTGTAAAGATGAGGGTCTTGTGTACTCATGTTTTCTCTATTCTTTTCCTGAAAACTAATTTATTGAGTTAATTATTTCTTTCCCTTGAATTTTAAAAATGTTTTATCTCTTTAATGGTTTTATATCTAATTTTTCTCTCTCTAATAATCCATGTAAAGAAATTAATCAAATCAGCCTAAATTAATTGAGCACTTCCAATTTAGATCAGCATTTTTTGAAATCATACTCATGTTTTCTCTTTTTTTTCCCCTGAAAAGTAATTTATCGAGTTAATTATTTCTATCCCTTGAATTTTAATAATGTTTTCTCTCTCTAAAGGTTTTATATTTATATTTTCTTTCTAATTAATAATCCATGTAAAGAAATTAATCAAATCGACGTACATTAATTGAGCACTTCCAATCTAGATTGGCATTTTGCAAAATCATAGATATATCACTATTTCAAGTATTGTTGACTCCGTGGCAAGAAGAGAGCAGTACTAATAGAGTGGTTGATTCCATGTGCCAACACAAAAACTCAACATTGAAAGGGTGAAGAGAGTAGCAAAAGGGTTCTTGAGAGTAGTGAGAAAAGTGGGAAATTCGAAGTGAAGTTTTAGCTATTAACTTGGAGTTCTAAATTGTTCAAAAGAAAAAGAGTTTTGATCTTTGAAAAAAGTCATATTAAATAATAATTAAAATAAGTTGTTCACTTGTTCGTGAAGAGAGATAGGAGTGAAATTTCTTTAAGCTTGAGTAAAAAGCAACAATAAATCAAAACGTGAGGCCCCGCCAATTCTTAATCTTGATCAACGATTTTTAAAATTTTGGTAGTTTACGAGACTTGAATCCAGATTTGGATCTAACTCTCTAAAAATTAATAGTATTAAACTTTTTCTTCTTTGTGGCTAGTTTCGAGATTGGGCGTTGCTTTCTAATTTGGATAGGTATTCTACAGAGAGAGAAATCATGTTCTAGAGCATATAAAAGAACTTATAACTATTGTATTCTTCATACTTGCATGGCACTTTTTATATTAGTGGAATAAAAAGTTTGTTTACATCATGGCCTACATCCACTGCCGAAACATTGTGTTTTTCGTTTTTAACTTTTGGTGCAAATTTTCTTTCAACTTTTGATGTAAATTTTCTTTTTTTTATTTTTTATACAAACATTACTTTTTTATCGTTGATTTTACTTTTTCATTGGAGAACTATTATTTATGAGACCCAATTTTGGTGGATGGTATTGAAAGAAAGACTAATGTGATCTTGCCAAGGCATATATATCTATATATATATACACACACACACGAAAATATAAAAAAATTATTCGTGAAAAATAAATTGACCAAAATACTCCCAAAATTTTTTGGTAGCATTTGAGTTAATTTTTTTCATGTAAAACATCTTTTTGATATTTTTCGTAGATTCACTTATTTTTTATGAACACACGCTTCAAATTTCAACTCATTCTGATTTGTTGAAAAAAATAATAAAAAATAAAACACTACTGGACAATCGTGATCGTGCGATGAACTTTGGACGGTGATAAGGGTAGGCGAAATCAGTGT